TCTTGAAAATTCTTCCATGCTGTATGCACATCTTCCAAAACTATTTGTTTAATATGGGTTATGGAAATTCAATAACTTTATTATTATAATTAAAATTTTATTCTAAAATTATCAACTAGTGAAAAATTATTACATCTTTTCTTTTATAAAAAAATTTGGATTCCAATTGTTTTGTATCTCTTTGCATGTTCTCGTTTACAAGTTATTTTTTATTCCGTTATGATTAAAAATTTTAAATTTAAGTTGTGTTGTATTTTATTATATATTTTAATTGATATTTATATACCATTTATTGATAAATATATGAATTTTTATTAAAAAAAATAGTATAATATTTTGTTTTTTTTTAATGAAAATTTAGTCACTTTATTAATTAAGTAATAATTTTATCTTAATAATAATATAATTTATTAAAAATTATATATATAAAATAATATTTTATTACTTATGATAAATATATAAATTTTTATTTTAAAAAAAAAAAAAAAAAAAAAAAAAAAAAAACCTTTAAAGCAATCGTAAGATTGATGTGAACATGAGTTCAAAAGATAGTAAAGAGAAGTATAAAGAAAATATTACAATATTAGTTAGTTCAATCATAAGATTTTAAATCAAAAAGTTAAAATATACGTTTCAAAACTTCGTACAAATATGGATACAACAAGAATTTAGCATATGTAAATTATTTGAAGAATCAAATAAGCAAAAAAAAAATCATTAATTTCGTCTAAGTATGTGGACAGAATTTAGAACAAATGTGTATGATCATTTTTGTCATTTCTTAGATAATTAAATTATGTTCATATTTTTCCAAATCATTTAATATTATGTTCCTTTAAACCATTTGATATAATGTTTTTTTGAGTCATTTAATATTATGTTCTTTTAACTCATTTAATACAATGTTCTCCTATGTCATTTAATATCATGTTTCCTTAAGTTATTTTTAATTATGTTCACGTTTCCTTAAATCATCTAATTATGATCATTTGACAGAATGTAGGTATTTTAGTATATTAATATCTCATTTACAATATAATGTGACACTTCGATTAATTGAATGAATTTTATTGTCTTTGGTAGAATTTTAACGAGTGATAATTCTTATTATTCTTATTGTATTAAGAACTGAATTAACTTATCAAATTATTTTGTAGTGTTTATTTATTCTTGATTCTTTCATCCCAATCACATAAATTCTTAATTATATGTTAGTTGTGAGTTTGATAAAGATGATTTGTTTAGAGTTATAAGTTATTTATGTTAAATATATATATAGAGTTTTTTATTTAAAAAATTTATTTATTTAATTAATTAAATGATATTTTGACATTAATAACCACACAATTTATTAGAGATGGGAGATATAAACTAATATTTTAACATTCACATGTAAGATAATTTTTTAATGAGAAAATATTAAGATACAATTTATGATACGAATTTATTCTCTTAAATGAATTATAAAAATATAATAAAATTATATTTTTAATATAAATTTATAAATTTTATTAATTATAATTTTATATTAATAATAACATAACTTTTTACAAATAACACATGTAATGCAATATCTAACAAGAAAATGAGATAACACAGTCTTTCAATAAGAATATACTTAATGCATAAACCATAAGACCTTATTTGAATAATGGTTTAATAATGATGATATGATTTTTTTTTATTTGTTAATATTTACAAACACATGGTGTAGTTTTTTTTGTAATTGAGTTATGATTCTCATATCATGATTTTTTTTCATTCTCTAAACTACCGATTCGTTAGTTTTATGATAGTTTGATAAATTTTTTTTTTTAATACCTTTAATATTTTTTATTATTTACAACATTACTTTTTCTTTAATTTCTTCTACTCAACACTTCTTCTTATATTATTTTTCTTATTTTAAAATATCGTATATATATATTTTTAATTATATATATATATTTTATATATAAATATATATTTATATAGTTTATCATATATATATTTATGTTTTTATTTATATATTATTCATGTATATAATATATTTAATTATATATATTTTTTAATTTTTATTTATTTATTATTATATATAATAAAATAAAAAATTTGATCAAATATACAATTATATTTTTTTATCAATTCGAATAAAAATAATTCGATTATATTTGACATTAATGAATCGAGTCATTCGATCAAGCTCCATAGAGCACTCTAAGATAGTCAGTTTAAAAAAAAAAAAAAAAAAAGATAGGAGGGTATTCTGGTCAATCTGAAAAGTAATGATAATATATATTTATATGCATACAAGTCAAGTTGTAACATGTTTATTTTTGCATACAATAAAAATTTATGGAGCATGATGGATTCCCCATCAACACAGTACTTAATTAGAGATAAAAATCCCAACTTTTCTTTTTCCCCAAATGAAAGTGAAACAACATGAATAAAAACAAAACCAGTAGCAGCAAGCATACGCAACCGGACGGATAAAGGCGTCGTCTTTGATTATGTATTTCTCTTTCTTGTAATGGGATTTTCTGGTGGAGTAGTGTGTAATGGAAAAAGGCGCTTTTTGGTTCATCCATCTAGCTAATACAAATAATCCATTTTCTTCCCTGATTATTTTTTCTCGAAATTCAGAAACCAAACAGGGCAAAGGAGCTGTCTTCCTCTTCTTCTCTCTCTCTCTCTCTCTCTCTCTCTCTCTCTATCTATACCTAACCGGTCTGTGTCCTCTCCGTCTGAGCTTTGTTTTCTTCCTTCATTTGGTATTGGGGGAGCACTACGAGCACTCCGTAATTTAAGTTTTTGTTTTGATTTTTTATGACTCTCACCGTCATCTTCAACTGTTAAGTTTTCTTTTCTCATTGGCACTTTGTAATTATTTCTGCTTTCTTCTTCTTCTTTTTTTTTTTTTTCTTTCGTTCGGAAAAGTTCAAAAAGAAACACCTTCTTTTGGAATTTTACTTTAAGATGCACTGACAAGTGACGACTTTTTCTTCAACGGAGAGTTAAAGCTTTGTTGCTGTTTAGTGGGTTCTGAGATCTGAAATTTTTTTAAATTTTTTCCTTCTGTCTTCTTCATTGTCTATTCTCAAACTTTTTCTGCTCAGTGTAATCTTCTTCAGAACTTCGTTTGCTTCTCCACCATTTCTTGCCTGCGCAGCACCTGTAATTTTAGATCTCGTAATAGTTTCCGCCAAGTGTCAGTTCCACCAAATTCCTGAAATCTCAATCTTTACTCCACTGGTTTCACTACTTTTAACACCTTCAAGTAACGTAACCGTGGTTTTTTCGGCGAGATTGGGGCTTTACATTGTTGAGGAAAAAAGGCTAATAACTTTTAACCTCTTGCAGGTTTCATTATCTATTCATTGGTCTAGTAAATGATTTTATGGACTTTGCTTCTTCTTTTCCTTCTCTGACCTTAGTTTTGCCTGCTCAATGATAGTGAACGAAGCAATTCTGAGCTTCTCCGACATTTCCGCTCTGCTTGGTTTTCTGACGATGCGGAGTATCCCCAAGCTAGGTTCACGCCGAAGAGAAGTATGATTGATCAGTTTATCAATTTTGTCATTCGCCCTCCCAGGTAACTGTCTCTGCCTTGACTCTACTTTTCTTATGCTCTTTTAGCTTTTGGGGTCTGCCGATGTAGCTTTTGCTTAATCAATGTCCTTGCAGCCTTATCTCTTTAGTTTCTTTTCAACGGGGGGATTGTACTCCAGTTGCTCTCAGTCATACTTCAGCTAATAGGCCTCAAAGTCTCAGCTGCATCCTCCATTTCTCTAACTATTTAAGCACCCAACTAGGATCCTCTCTCTATTTAAAGACATGATGATTTAATGCTAGTACAGTTGATGTTACTCATTTTGGTCTTGGAATCCAAAGTCAGTAATTCATTCCCCAAACGTTTATTGAACCGTTTTTTTCTCTTACTTCCATTAACCCATTTTGTTGAACTGCTTTGGCAATAATGCATTTATGGCGAAGTATTGAACTAGGATTTTTTGGCTTGTTAATGAAGCTATAGGAGTAAGCTGTGGCTTGAATTACTGAGATGGAATCTTAAATGAATATGTAGCAGTTACGGCTGTGGTTCATGTTGGGTCCACGATATCTCTCTAGTACTTCAGCACTTTTAGCGCAGGTTTAATGTCAGATATTATAGGAACTAGAGCTTGGTGAGTCTTTAAAGTTGAGAGATGCTTGGAAAAAGAAAAGATGTTTCGTGTAGCATATACTGGCAAGTTCACTATCAGAAGAGTTTCACAAATGAGGTTTGAAACTTGTTGGCATCAAAATAATATATAGGAGTATTCTTTCAGGGATAGTCTTTGCTTTGTTCTTGAATGCTCTATGCCCAAAGTGCTTCTCCATTTGTTTCTTTGTTATATGTAAAGGATATCTTACTGACTAATCTTCTTCAGTTTCTAACTATCGCAGCTGACTAATCTTGTTCACTTGCTACCTTCACCTTCTCCCATTTTTTGTTAGCTTCTGCTTCTTTGTGATGAAATACTCCAGGCCTTAGAATGCTGCTTAGATGATCTAACCTTCCTTCAGTCATTTGTTTTATAGCTAACTCATATAATGGACTTGTAGGGTGGATTACAACCCTGATCAGTATTTATGGGAAAAGGATTTCACTCTAGCTGGTAGACAGTACAAGCGACAGGACTTGGAGGCAAGTATGGACATCAGCAAACTAACTTCACTTTCTTTTCTTGCCTCAAGTAATTCACAGTAACTTTTGTTTGAGACGATACCTTAAAATTTGTGATGTTCATTGTGAGCAACTTTTTGTACTTGCAGCTTACAAATTCAAGAGGCCATACCTTGCGCTGCAGTCATTATCTACCTTCATCTTTCACTGGAGATACTCCTCTTCCTTGTGTTATATACTGCCATGGGAATAGGTAGTGAAGTTATCATGGGCTATTGACCATTTTACATTAACATTTTTTTTCCTGTTCACATTTGATATAGCCTCTATTTGCAGTATCCACTTCTTTATAAACATTTTAAATGATACTTTCATAATTGATTGTTCATAATTCACTTCCTGGTAGAATTTTTAATTGCTTTCAGACAAATTTTACCGTGCACCAAGGTGAATCTAATTCATTTGGCATGAAAATTAATCCAGTGGATGTAGGGCAGATGCAAATGAGGCTGCTGTAATCCTTCTTCCCTCAAATATTACTGTTTTCACCCTTGATTTTTCTGGTTCGGGCTTGTCTGATGGTGACTATGTTAGCCTTGGTTGGCATGAAGTGGGTTCCCTCTCTAATTCCTTTTATAATCAAGTGTCTCTGTATGTGAAACCAATATCGGAAGTTTGTAATTCCTGTGGTTGCATCTGTGACAGAAAGACGACCTTAAGATTGTGGTGTCATATCTCAGAAGCAATAAACAAGTATCTCGAATAGGTCTATGGGGACGATCTATGGGTGCTGTCACCAGGTATTGTATCTCATCAATTCTAACTCAATGCTGTCAATTTGTTAAGCAATCCTATTATCATTCTTGCCTTCTATAGATACTTCTACATGCCCAAAAATGTTAGTTGACCATGGGAAATGGTTGGATTGGTGTTGATGGATCCTTTACTTGCTTATCAATCTTTTTTCCTAGAGATCCTGATATAGGTTCATAATATAATGCAGCCTTCTCTATGGAGCAGAAGACCCATCTATAGCTGGAATGGTGTTAGACAGTGCGTTTTCAAACTTATTTGATTTAATGATGGAACTAGTGGATGTCTACAAAATCCGGCTTCCTAAATTCACAGTATGGATCTTTGTATAACTATTCTTCCCTCTTTCTTGTCCTCTCTGTGCTTACTCAGGCATGCAGACTCTCTCTGTGTCTTAGATGCAATAACCAATGGTCACAAATTTATAGATTTAGCTTTTTTCTGAAAATTCTTATCCATGTGAATTGTGGCTAGTTTTTCAGTCATGTTTTCTTATGTAATGTTCATTGTGCATCTGGAATGGAACTGTCAATATAGCATTTTTTTTCACAGTTGAGGGATAATTGGCTTTTATAAAATATATATGGATTTTAGTTGGGTTATTTTGTGTCCTCCTTTGTCTTATGTTCATTGAACACATGAAAAAACTGTAAGGAGATATTTATTGTTTGAGGGATTTGTCTTCTACATGTTTCTATTTGTTGTGGCAATAATTTTTCTTTTTTTCCTTTTGTCATTTTTAATTCAGGTCAAGGTGGCAGTGCAGTACATGCGACGGGTAATTCAGAAGAAGGCAAAGTTTGATATCATGGATCTTAACTGCCTAAAGGTTAGTCTGTGGCAGTGACTTCAGTATGGAGGTAGACAAATGTGCCCCATTGATCTGAACTTGGTCTATGTGGAGGTTGCTAAATTTGTGCAGTTGGAAAGTTTTTCTATTTGTTTTGGTATTTCTTTGGACATTTAACCTCTTTTTCTGTTTACAAATGGACTGCTTTGATCCTTGATTCAATGCGCATGTGGTTATTTGTTTGTATTCATTCTGTGGACAATAAATGGTTTAACCAGTGATTCCTTTCACTAAAATGTTGAACAGGTTGCACCAAAAACATTTATTCCGGCTTTATTTGGACATGCTAGCGAGGACAAATTCATTCAACCCCACCACTCCGACCTTATCTTCAAGTCTTATGCAGTAAGAGACTAGTCCCTGAGTACAAATTCAGCAAGGCACTGCTTCATTTTCTAAAGCATGTTTTGGTTATGTAGGGAGATAAAAATATCATAAAATTTGATGGTGATCACAACTCTTCGAGACCACAGTTCTATTATGATTCAGTGTCTATATTCTTCTTCAACATTCTACATCCTCCTCAAATAGCTTCTGCATATTCAAGCAAACTTGAGAAATATTATGATTTGGGGGATTTGAAGGTCGGAGCTGGCATGGATGAGGTAATTTCCATTTTCACATGGATCTGTTGCCATCTGAGTGTTCATCTTTCTCAATCTATTACAGTGAGCACATCATGACAAAGTGTTATACTGATGGTTTTCTATTATGGAAAAAGTGCTATGATGATGGGCACACTATGAAAAGAAGTGACATGAGGAATGATTCTCCGTCATTTTCTACCGCTCATTTACGGTTTGTTAGATATAAGAGTTGCAGTTGTTGCTTGAATTATATGCTAAAAGTTTCAAGATGGCAATCAAGTGTTATACTGATGGGTTTCTTTTAAGAAAAAAGTGCCATGGTGATGGGTACTTCATGAAAAGAAGTGACATGAGGAATGATTCTCCATTGTTTTCTACCTTTTGTTTATTTGTTGTTAGATATAAGAGTTGCAATTGTTGCTTGCATTATATAAGGATCATGATAACCATAACTGTCAGGTGATACAAGGATCATACAATGCTGCATTCAGCTTTTTGTAAAAATATAGTTCAAACTGGTAGAGTCAGATATCATCGTTACCATCTAAATTACTCTACTGCCACTTTCTAAAATTACCTGTATAGTGTGACAATGGTGTTGTCACCTGCAATGGAAGAGTCTATTGGGTCTATGGTATTATTGTTGAAACTACGATTGTATATCTTTGGCTTCTTACTTATATACTTACAAGCTTAGTTTAGAAAGAGAGGGCAGAACCTTACAACCTATCGACCTCCATTTCAGCATTATGGTATTTAAGTGATGTAACCATTCCATTAGTAACAATCATGCGATTGAATGGGGATTAACATAATTTGTCTGCTTACCATAAGTTGTTGTCTCTTTTCTTTTCAGAATCTTCTATATGAGATTATCACAAGCCTCCATTCTGCGTGTAATGGTGCTGCGAGTTCATCTTCTGCTCCTCCTACCATTTTAACTACGAAGCCTGTGGATGAACTTCTCTCAGAAATTGCTCCATTTACTAGCACAGTATTGCTTCTGTTTTTCCTGTCTCATTCTTTGCTTTTCAATTAGATATTTATATTTGTGCTAATTGATGATGCAGGATTCTTTGCTTAATGATAATAGTACACCTAATGGTGATGAGCCTCTATACTTACAGGTGATCTAATTCTGTAGCATCTTCGAATATTGAAATTTAAGTGGATATAAATGAAATTATTTCCAAAAAAATAAATTAAAAAAAAAAACCTATGAAGGTAGGAGAAAAGGAAAATTGGGAGAGGAAAGGATCATTGTTTCCAGTAACAAAAGTGATAAGGTGCTTCAATGGATTTGAATTTGGCATGAAGATCTGTCAGTTAACTTCATATGTTGCAACAAGATACTATTAATCATCTCCATTGCTGCTCTTTTATTTTCCTTTAGATGTCTATCCCGTGCTCGAGGAAAAAACTAATTGAACTGAGTAGAGAAAATTAATCGAACTTGAGTGTAAGCTTTACCATTCTGTACATGTTTCAGTAGTTTGTTCTAATTGCAGGATAAGCCAGACGGTCAGAGCGAGGAGTGTTGCTCTTATACAAGCTCCAATAGAGAGAGTTGGGGTAGATGTTCTTCATTAGGAGGCAGTGATGGAGAGTCTTCTGCAGGCTGCACTGCTACGAACAATTGTCATCAGGTCTATCCATTGTGCATTACTTTTTCTATAAGTTTCTTGAACCACGTTTTTTCTGCAAGTCACTTGGGGAAAATTAGTCATGATTATGATATCACAGCATTCAACTTTCTTCCCAAATAATTGGAGTCATTGTTGTGTACAATTAAAATTCTGGTCTAGGTTGAACTAGCGATGAACTGTGTATCTCAAGGGAATTGACAATTGCTAGCAAATTACAAAACATGCCTTTATTTTTACATATAGTCTATTACTTTTTCTTGAGAAGTAAAATATATATTAAAATGGAACCCATAGAAAACTATTTATATTTCCAACAACATATCGATAAGGTCCCCAGAGTTTAATGGTTGGCTTGGCTACTTACTAGAAAACGTACAGTCTAAAACCACAAATCCTTAAATCTATCAAAAGAAATGTCAATCGATTCAAAGCCCTTCTATTTCTCTCCTTGCAAATTGATCCCAAAAGATAACCTAAGAAATAAGCCTTAAGATTTCTTGTTCCTCTGAATGCCTTTCCAAGCCCACAGCCAATCCGTCACTGTGCCAGCAATGACAAACCCAAAAAGCCATAAACCAAAGTCCAAAGTCAGTGAGCAAACAAGCACCAAAGGAGAATATGGTTGCACTTTTTTTCCCCATTCTTGCACAAATGATATCCATTCACCAGAGTTCTCCCCCTTCTGATCAACTTGTCCAGCATGAGAATACTCTCCCTAGTCTTCTTCCCCCGCAAAAAGGGCCACCCTTGGAGTTGCTTTCACTTTCCAATAATGTTATAGGGAAACTTATTATCACCACCTCCCCTATTCATCAAATGCAAATAAAGGGGTTTGATTGAGAACTGTCCATCTCTGTTGAGACTCCATATAGGCTTGTTTTTTGTCCCAACTGATACAAACTCCCGAGCAATAGAGGAAAGACAGTTCATTTTCCCATCAATCTCCCAGTTATTCAGATTTTTTGTTAAAATGATGGACCACGTGAGTATCCCAAATGAATCCACAAACGAATCCTTAACAGAAATATTTTTGTGTTGTGCAATAGCATAGATGGAAGAGAACTGCATATATAGGACCTCCACAAATAGCTTACTTCTTTAATTGGTCGTCATTACAGTGTAATCTAGTTGAACCACTTGTAGTAAGCCACCTTAACCTTTTAGAAATATAGGAACTCATTTCGTAGTACAATCCAGTACACTATGACTGGACCAAACATGGTCGACAGATACTTTATTAAAGAGAAACTCGACAACAGCCTAATATGTATTCGATACATGCATTACCAATTCACAGCTAGTAGATGTGTTAGCCAAAGGCTTGAGCAGTCGAACATTCTAGACTGTCATTGATAAGCTGGAAATGGACAATGTATATTCCCCAATTTGAGTGGAATGTTAGAGTGTGTTGTATATAAAATAGATTAAATGACACTAGGTTAAAATACATCATATGTAATCAATTTTTTTGTTTCCTCATATTTTAAAAGACCTGAATATATGAGGTTGTGAATTCAATAAAATACACATTCAACCATTCTTAACAGGAATGACTTTTGTGAGGCATGAATTTGAACCATGTAGGTCTAATGGCTTTGGTGTATATATATGTATAAAGTGTGTATATGGGTGGGTTTGGGTTTGTGTATCTAGATAAAGAAAAATCCTGTAAGCATCATAAATTGGGAGACTGAATTAGCTGAATAACATTTGTTTAGTGCGTAACTTACATGTTAGTTTCAGTTTACTAGCTCTTATCTACATTCATAAATTTTCAAAGTTTCTAGTCTTGACAAGCCTTTTCTTTTCTATTCTACTTGGGTTTGGCGTTCAGACAAGTCTCAATGTGCTTGCTACTCCCCTTAGAAATATAAATCAAAAACCGAACAACCCGCCAAAAGAGGACAAGAAGAACAAGAAGGTTCAAGCAGTTCAGAAGAAGCCTAAACGTGAGAAGGCTAGAGAGAAGCTTGAAAAGCTAGAGGCCCTTAGTAAACGACTGCGGCATTGTATTCTAAAGCGAGTTAACCATCGAAGACATCGTTCTTCATGATAGCTTTGTACCTTAGCATACTCATGTAACTATGTCCAATTCATCTTCAAGTAACATTTCTATTTACTTTGTGGTGTAGTAAAAAAGCAATGGGTTTTATTCTGATATCTGGCTGCCTTTTCAAATATTTATATGCTGTTGATATACATCTCTCTGTGCATCTGTTATGTCTGCTTGTGTGCGCCCATGTGACTGCATGACTGAAACTGCTAACAAAGGCCTACTTTGCATGGGGATCAATTTCTGGGTGCAAGAAAAATTGGCTTAGCTGCTATATGGCCTTTCTTTTTTTCTAATTTTTCGATTATCCTCCTCAGCAGCCTTACAATGTATTGCTGGAGAAGGAACTAAATCATCAGCATAGTAGCTGCATATGCTTCTGAAATGCTCATTTGAAGCTTGGCGCTTGCGAAGCATTGCCTCCAAAATGCTCATTTGAGGAAGTGGAGGAATGCATACATGCTCTAAGGGGGATGAGTATGATGAAAATTTAAACTGGACATCTCAAGCCTGTGAACTAATCAATATGATTTTGCTTTTCTTTTTATTCATAGACTGCTCAAAGTAGGATTTGAACCGGATCGTCTCTGTGGAGTTGACTGGAAATAGTCATCGGACCTGATCACCTCTGTGGAGTTAGCCGGAAATAACCATCCAATTAAAATGTGGATGTTTGTGATTGTCACCTCAGCTACACCTTGAAGTATGCATAATCTTATCACCTGCTGGATATCTTCAGTCTAGCATCTAGCTGGAGCAATTAAGACTACCAACTTCAGCAATAGGGTGACATACTGTTAGGCTATATTTGGAATAACCTCAAATTTTTTTGTAAAACTTATTTAGAAATTAACACTTGAAATAAAAGAGAATTCAAGAAAACTAAGTAAGAAGTTAAAAAAAAAATAATAATAATTTAAAAAAATTTAAACAAAATTAAAACAATACATGAATTAATGAAATTCAGAAAATGTTGTTTTAGTTCTTGAAATCTTTTGTAAATTTAACAAAAATTTCAATACTTCCTAACTAAAATGTGGATTTCCAAAAAAAAAAAAAAAATTTGCTTTACTCAGAAATATAGCTTAACATGTTTAATAGATAACTTCTGAAGAACCAAGATATGCATCCTGCATTGAATCCTGTTTTCCTTAATCACTACTCAGTTGTAATCTTCCCTTTCCCTTAACTTGAGTCAATAAGCTGTTACTTATAATTTTAAAGCTGATTGTGTTCGGCTGGTCAAGTTGTATGCCGGCTATTTTATTGTCAGGCCTAGGAGTCAATCTAGCAAAGTTTGCTCCCTGATGTGGAACATATGGGAGAACAATGATTTTGTTAAGGCATTCAGAATAGGAATAAAAAAAGTCTAAGAATCTTCTCTCTTAATTACCTCCAATCACTCTCCCTCTCTCTCTCTCTCTATATATATATATATTATCTCTCTCTCCTTCTCCTATATATTTATATAGATGTATCCTCTCTCTCTCCTTCTCCCTCTTCTTCTTGTTCTGACCACCCATCATTATACAAGGAGGTTCATAAGTCAGGAGCCTGACCCAGCCATGGGAGTCAAGCACCTACGGAGTGATGCATGAATAAGGGGTATACATGACACTTAATCATATACATGAACCAAACTACCAATGGTTCATATTCCTAATTTAATTAGTCCTCAAGTATCTCATGAGTTTAAAGAAAATCAGTACAAAGGAAGGAAAAGATTAAAAACAATCTTTGACCTAATCAGAAATATTTCCCTACTAAAGATACAGAGACAAGCAAAATGCAATCCTGAGATAACATGCAATAGATTAAATCACAGGTCACTTCCTGAGACCTTCTCTAACTGATCTTCGTTCCTAATTGGTAAAGCAGACAAAGGATCAAACCCCTCTCTAGTCAGGAAAACAGTGTGTGGTTGCTGGTAGGAAGAGCTCAGACTTGACTCCAGTATCTGGTGTGTAAGCACCAGCTCCTGTTTAGAATAGGATGCACCCATACCCACCCTTTGCCTCTTTGAGGATCTCTCACCTTCGGGGCTGTCAGCTGGGGATCCACCATGGCATCCTGAATCTGGAGTCAGGGGCTCATGATGGGATGAGAAAGATTCCTCAACAGATAGGCTCTTGTCTGGGGCCCGGTCTTTCCCAGCCTTTTCTTGGACAGGAGACTCGGAAGTAGGGCCAGGGGTTCCAGGATCATTCTTAGTGTCAGAATCTAGACAATTGTCACCAGATACTGGGGCTGACACTCCAGATCCAGGTGCTTCTGCAAGAACTCCACTAAGTCGTTGTTGTTCTTCAATTATCTTTTTTAAATACTTCCCTTGGGCTTCTATTCGTAACTGAAGCTGTCTCTGCACCTGTGTATCCAAAAAGATGAAGAAATCACCAACTTGCAAGGGTTCCGGTTGTTCATGCAAACTGTATCAGGTGAGAAATTGTAAAGAGGATACGGTTCTAAAAAATTCATTAATGTTATCATTAATGAATGCCCCCTTTCTTCCCTCCCCAACACACATGCACACACCTGCCTCCCACTATAATGACCACCAAAAGAACAATAGATTCCGGCAAATTCATACTGCTTTATCTTTCTGCACTTTTTTTCGAAATATAGAAATAAAAGAGGTGTGAAGTAAGAGAAAACAGCAGTTGACGATGAAAAATTGCAGAGATGAAACATGCCTCTAATTGCTCATGCAGCCGCTTCTGCACCTCCATTTGTAGCTTGAGGGCTTCAGTTATTTGCATTCCACTGCAACCAAAAAAAAAAAAAAAAAAAACATATCATCATCCCAGTGAATAATTAATCTGATAGAGTTGATGTTTTTCGGATAATCTGATTGACATGATCCGACAATTTGGAGTAAACCAAATATTATATCATCAAATCATCTGGCTTTTGCTATAACCTAGTCTGACAACTGTCAACTGAAATTTAAAAGAGGATGAAGAGAAAGCCCCACTTACGATGAACCATCCAAATTAGAAAGCATATCCCCAGTTTCTTTCTTGTCAGTTTTTTTCCCTGAAAATAACTCAAGATTACATAACCAAGAATTTTATGAAGGTTCCATTACCAGAAGTCTTTCATTACAGTACAAATAATATGTACATAAAAAAACAGTATGTACTTAGGCCAACTGCATATTATTGTCCATGTAAATAACCATTAATATCACATAACGTACCATCAGAAGAGGAATCAGGAAGATATTTTGCTAGTCGATATTTCTGGATGCATCATAAAGGCAGAGTTAGAAAAATGATAAATATGAACCAAAAGAATTGACACATTAAGCACCCAACTTAAACCCTCAACCCTATCAAGTGGAATCAGAGGACAAAAGGAAAAGGTAGGAGAGTTTTGATTAGGATGGACCAAACATTTCTTTACCTGTAAATGGCTCTTCACATGATATATTGTTAAACCCTGTACACCCATCACTCTGAGCACACCTTTTGGTGTAGCCCCTGGAGAGAAATAAGAAACTTGGTTCAATATTTTAGGCTACACAAAATTTCATGAATTACTGTTATTCAGGAGAACTCTTCGCAATCAAGAAACTGAATAAAGCTGTCAACTTTGATGCTTTTATGTATACTTCCACAATCTTGCTCTCAAAATGCTATGGCTAAGAAATTTAGAATAAAAGAGAAGTAACTCTTGTCCAAAAGAAAATATCAGTAAATGTAAGGATTAAGGATCTAATGGATAAAGTAGACTCACGGTCTGGACCACCAAGCTGTGCCACGGCATCAACAAAACGCTCATGAAGCTCGTGTGTCCAACGCAATCGCTGTTTTGAAGCAAGATTAGCATTGTTGTTGAGATTGTTTCCTCCGTTGATCGGATCCATAGAATCTGCACCACACTGTAAATGCTGACCATGAACTAACAGTTGTTTCCGACTAAACTGGAACCACGAACACTCTATGGTTGCTACATTATTCAATCACAATAATAAAAGAAGCATTCTGTAACTTTAAGATACGGTGCAAAATTGCCTTGTTTGAATCCAGTCAGTAAGATCCATAACTTCTCATGCTAGCATTCATGACCCCAGCAATGTTAAGTTGAAGGTAGGTATTAAATCAGGATTTCATCATTAACATCGATGAAGGATGAACTGATAATAAAACTCAGAGATACAACAGAGCAAAAAATAGCTGTTATCCAATTAAAGATATAAAGATATTCAATAGTTGAATACTTGGAACTAAGAACATGAAGATCTTATCTAAACACACGCAACATTATTGCATAATTGCCACCAGGAAAAAGTTCACAAGAGAATTGCAAATAGTTGAATCAAGAGCATTGTTTTCTATAATTGCTGAAAGAACTGGTATTTAAATAGATGAGATATAAGTTTTCCCTACCAAAAAGTTCATAAGAGAAATTATAATGCTGCATGCATACGGACAAATGGAACATAATGATATGATAAATGGAAAATGGGGTAAGTCACAAACATCACAAATGCAATATGTGAGGCAACCTTTGACTTGGGAAAATTTTGGGCAGCAATCAATCAGAAAGATTTTTGGAAACAAATAACAGTATGTTCAGAGGAAAGATGCCTACTGCGAGGGACTTGCAGCTGTCTTTCAGAAATTTACTTGAACAAAGCCGTTTCATACAGAGCGGCATTAATAAGAAACTGAGATCAGTAAATTGGGTGGTCAAGGGAGAAAGATATGATGCAATGAGAAATTATTATCTTGTGGCATATATTAATTTAGAATCAAATTTCCATTAATCGCTAAATAAAGTCCACTAATTGTACTACCAAATTAAATTTTCCATTAAAAATTAATGGAAACGTAATAATACATCAGTCTGCAACCCCCCTACTCTATAATTTCTCTAGATGCAACAGCAAAAAGTCTCAGGTTGCAACTCGGAAATTATCCTAACTAAAGCTTTCAGAACACTCCATGAGGTTCAGCTGAAACTATCGTTAGCATTTATCAACTGGAAGTTCGAAAATTTGAAGAACAAAGCATTATTTTTGCATTCTAGGGCTCCATAACCAAAGTGAAGAAGAAATGATCTCCTGTGTAATTCGTGATCGGGAAGAATCAAACGCAATAAGACAGTAATCACAAATTGGGAGAAAACTACGAAAAGAGTAAACATCAAAATTAAGTTCTGAACCAAAAAAGATGAACAGCAAAAGCTGACTTATGATGACGACGACTGCCAATACACGAGAAGATAATCGGAGAAATTCTATTGCAGACTGTAACTAATTGGTTCTAAATAGAGTCATCGCGAACAAAAAATTGAAAACAAAAAAGAACTCGCATCATTAAACGTTACCTGATGAAGATTAACGAAAGAGTAAGGGGATATAAGTTAGTACGATGAAGAAGGATGAAAGGAGAGAGGGGTTGACAAAGAAGGTAATAAACACGACCAAAAGTAAAGGAGAACAAAATGAAAAATCAAAGAGCGGAATGCAGAGAAAGAAACAAGGAGCAATGATGAAGGCAGAGACATACCCAGATCTATCGCTATCATCCCAATACTCCCTCGATTGTGGGAGCTTCTTCTCTCTCTCTCTCTGGTTTTCTTACCTCTACCCAACTATATATAAATATATATGTTGCAGGAATTTATATAGTAACGATGTGATTAAATAAAGCTGAGAAATTTTGGAGAGGGAAGGTGAAAGAGAAAGAGGGTATTTGGAAATGGAGCCGGGGAAGAAGAGAGAGAAGAAGACGGACTTGACCAGCACCACCCAGTCACCCACCAACACCATCTTTCTTTTTCTTTTATTACTTCTCTCTTCTCTTTTATTTTTTATGTAATAAAATTAAATTCTTTTTTCAGATGGGAAAAAATCAAGTTTTGTTTTTATACAGAGGCTGCCTATTGTCCACTATTTTTTATTTTTTTTAAAAAGAAATTACAAAAAAAATATTTACAGTATTTAAAAAATTACAAAAAAAATATTTACAGTGTTTAAAAAATTACAAAAAACTATCCAACAAAAAACTTAGCTCTTAATAACAAAGGAGTGAATGAAAATAAAATGAAAGATACAAAATAGAGGAAAGTGGCTCATAGACAGAATCTTCTCTGTTATATTCCCAACTATTCTGGCAAAGCTCGTCTCTTTATATATATATATATCACATACACACACACACATATATATCCACACATTCATGTATGTGTATAATATAAATATGTGTTTTTGGATTTTCTCATGTCCTACTCTCCATACCTGCATTGTTTTGTTCTTCCTTTGGCTCCTCCTCACTGTTCTTTTATGCACGCATGGTGAGGGATTTTTCTAGTAAGCAACAACTACATATGTTCTTGTTGCCGCATGGACTTAGAAGAACCAATTCCATATGTTCCTCCGCCAAAAACCCTCCTATGCACTTCTTGCATTAATCCACTGTTTTTATATTTGTCATTCATATTACAGGAGAGAATTATTACTTATTATAAAAGTTTAATGTATTATGGTGAGTCATAGGAGTTTTCATATTTTGATTAGGAATGAAAGATTAGATTGAACCCAGGTAGTTTGTCACAGGGAGAGAAGCCTGAGGATTGGATTCACAGAAGGGATGATATCTAGAAAGGACATGAAAAGTTAATTTTAATTTTTGCTTTAGCAGATAACAAAATAATTCCACCCAAACAAAAAAGAAATTTTGAGGTACCCACTTTTTGTACTTTGTTACCAAAAAACAGATTTTTTTTTAAAGAGCTTCCAGATGATACATACATATATATGTATGTATTATATCAGCAATAAATTTCACACACTCATTTCCTCTGGCTATAACTTCTAAGAATTCTTGATCTTTCTCAATATTGTTATATTTTCTATTTGTTTCTCATAAATTGTATTGATTTATCTTAAAAACTTGATTTCAATTAGAATTTGATTATTCACGACGTACAAAAGTTCCCACTAAACATCTATAATCGAATAGTTAAAACATCCAATTTATAATCGATGACTTTATAAGTTTAATTTGTATTGAACGCAGGTCAATAGGATCTAACTTATAAAACTTAACTTTGTATAAATAAAATCTCATCGTGTATACATAACGAATTAGTATAATATATTCATATAATAAGATAAAAATTCATTTTATTCGTTACTATTTTAGTTTATATTATATTGATAAATTAGTTTAGAAAAACTAAACCCAGATCCCTAGCAAGCATTTCCTGCATTCCATGAATTCAAATAACAGTAATCGCCCAAGAGGCAGCCAGTCCCAGTCATATAATATACATAAAGCATTGCCAACTAGTTGGGTATATTTTACCCTTCAGACACCAGCACTTGTTTCGAATTCCAACTTTCCAGACCTAATCAAATTAAACCAAATGAAACCATTACTGCTCTCTTACATGAACTTCACATTATAATACCCATAAAATATGAATCAACCAACCCAAGAATCTCCCCTTTGTCATCATAAGTTGATTTTTCAGTTTTGATGTATGCCACAACCAGCAGTTCCTTGGGGACTTTGAGCGGCTACATTCACCTCCTGGCTTCTCATCTTTGTGCCACTCCAAATCAACGATCCAGTTGTTGTGTCCAAATTCATTATCCTTTTGTTTCCTCCAACCAGGGGTCCTTCCATGGTCAGTCCTCGTGGACTCTCGTGTGATGTTAGGCAGCTTTCAGTGGAACAATCAGTTCTCTGCTGATGAATACCAGCCGGTACTTCTTCTTCTTGGCCATTCGCATTACCCACCTCGGTAGAATGTGAGGAGTAAAAGCCAAGTGGGTCAAGGGAGCAATTTCTTGCCATCTTACCCGCTACCCCAACACACTTTTGGTTTTCTGAGTCTGAAAGTGCACCTCCAAGAAATTGATCAGCAAGCATCTTACAAGCTCTCTCAAGCATAGTTAAGTATCTCCGTTCAGCATCCTGCCGGATCTGTAGGTGCTTTTCAGCCTACATTGAGAAAGCAGCAAGATTAGTCTTCAGAATAGAACCTTACTTTGAGCACATGCCAGACTTAGGATTCATTCAGCCTTGGCCAAGACGTGGTCAGAGCCGTGGTCAGAGCCAAAAGCAATCAAACCTACATAACTTCTGGATAATGCCATTTGCTACCTATTCATGAAAACCATCATCTGAGAGGATATAAAAGAAGAAAGGTCTCATGAGCACCAAATGGTAATACAAGTTACCTCAACCTGCAGATGTAATTTACTTTGCACTTCCATTTGCACTCTTAATGCCTCCTTGACTTCATAACCCCTAAACATTGTTTTCTTGCGTAATTTAGTAATTTCAAGCACTGTTTAAGAGATTACAGGTGGCAGAATTTTGAGATTTCACAGAAAAGGAAAATGGAGATTCTTACTCATGTACATCGGAAGATGGCAAATTTGGAGAAGAATTACTTATTCCAGGGCTTTCCAAAAGGTATGAAGCTGACATTCCTTCCACAAAAGGCAGAAGAGTTCAGTCTAGATTTGAGATTCTTGTAAAAGGATTGGGCAAAGTTTTTGGAGATTAAATTGTTGATGTGGTAAGACCACAAATAGAGTTACTCAGAGCCTACCATCCTTAGGTGCCTCACCCATATCTTTCCCCGATTGCTTACCCAGTCTGTATTTCTGTGACACAGATGATCTCCAAAGGTCAATAATAAATCCATGAATAACACCAAAAAGAGCTCAGTTTCATGTAGAATTCCAACATTTGACCTGTGATAACAAAAACTTCAGTAATGAACAGAAACCTGGAGGTGACTCTTCAAGTGGAAGAGTGTTAGTCCCTTCACATTCATTGTCCGCATGATTGCCTTTGGTGTTGCTTCTGCAGTTATTGCACATTCTCATCAGCATATAGTAGAATTCTGATTCATAAAGAAGACTTTCCCCACACTTTTTCAAAGAAAACTTCAGAAAAAAAAAGCCAACAATTCTTTGATTTGTCAATCCAAGTTGGACGGGGGAGAGATGAAGAACATGTATTGAGCCTTCAAATGGATGATGTGACTTTGTACTGAAGAAAATAGCTACTATAATTCGGGCAATAAAACTCGGAGGTATTACAACTTTTACCAACTATCTCATCCAATTGCAATGATGAAACAAGTTACTTCCACCACATACATTCATGCGATTGACACAGACAGGAAATGATACTTCTTTTTCCCATGGTGGGATTGAGGGTAAGTTTCCATGCATACAAGTCAAACAGACTGAATAAGAAAGGAGAAAATAAGCCACAACAAGAATGGCGCCAAAAAACACAATTGACTGCCACTTGGCACTCAAACCTGAAAAGTTAGAAAGTGAGGTAGAGGTACTAATCGTAACTTGAAATTTAACCAAATAAAGTCGAGATTGTCCTCTGAAAAAACAAATAAAGTTGGATTTACTCATCAATGAAAATTATTTTATAAGAAGCAGGCACCGCAGGGCACGCAGAAGGATAGTTCAGTGTAGATTGTAAGATAAAAAATCCTACATTATGTCTTCTTTTATCCTCCCAACATTGTAGCCAATACTTTGCAAATGAAGACTAGTAGAACATCCACCAACTACTAATACAATGTGCTTGAAACTATTAAAAAGAAAGGGCCTTTTGATCTTTGCAAAGACTCCCCATCGGAAGGTCACTACCCACGGACAGTGAACTCAAATTTTCACATAACAAAGAGGAAAAAAGTCTTTGAGTTAGCAAATTAGGATGGGACTCTTTTCTACTCTCGAATATATTTCTCTCATAATCCTCATATATAAAACAATATTACATGCTAATACTCTCTCATTGGAGTTAAGATAAAAGACTTAACTGATATTCACACCCAAAAGTTACCAATACCTCATGGGGAGTTAAATTCGGAGTAGTTCCATCCTACATTCCCGCATCTTTACATATACTACTTGAAAAAGGTTCTAAATGGATGTTTGATCGTGATCAGCTAAACATCATTAATCTTTACAATTAAAAGGCCATAGAGGTTATCAGCCCATGATACTTAATAACTCCTCGCAACCAAAAAAGAAAAAAAAATCATTTTTAGCTGTGACTAATCATCTCTATTGTCTTTGCCTAAATGAACAACCTATTGACAACATATACAAATGTGCACAGCCTCCATGACCCCAAATAAAGATCCATTTCAGGAAAAATATCGTTTCCTAGGACGTTCCTATATCTTAATTCTTAGCGACATTGCTAAGCTCCAAAAGATGAATATTGCACCTTCTAAATGAGAATTTAAGGGCTTAAAGACACATCCTTCATAAAGAAACCCAGAGATCATTCATGAGAAAATGTTGTGTCCGTTTACAGTAGTTCAGGGGAATAAATACAAACATCCAAAGAACGTTTGAAATGTAAGTTATGAGAAAGGGGGGGGGGCTTTTTAAAAGCATATGGTAGCTGAGATGCAGAACCTTCTTATCTGATTCTAATTTCCCTTATAGTAAGCGAGAAGCAGGGAAAAAAATAGTAAATCTGAAATATATGCAGACAAAAAAAGAAAAAGGCATGAAGCCTTATGCTTCACTCAACAAGTCTCATGAATAATTTGCATCAATTTCATGGTGAAGCCAAATCTAAATCTAACATAAGGAACCAGTTCCACGGAAATCTAAATCTAACATTAAAAGAAGAAGAGCAAACAAAAAAAAAAAAAAACAATCACAAAAAATGCAGTAGAGAGGAGAATAAGAAACAAACTGTTAGGGCCACCAAGCTGAGTGACAGCATCAACAAATCGATCATGAAGGTCAGCGGTCCAGCGAAGACGAGGCTTAGGATCCGAAGTCAAGACGAGGCATGGGTCTCCGCTTGGTGGACGATGAGCATGAGTATGACCAACTGGTCCTCCCACCATTTCTTCGTGACCGACAATCCCACTTTCATGGCTTCCAATTACTCTTCCGTACATCTTCTCCCTCTTATTCTTCTTCTGCAACTTCCTTGTTAATTTGCTAAATCATTATCATTACATGGGGAAGACGAAGAAGACTCACATGCATCCCCTGATTTCCCCAATTCCAAATCCCGAAAGACGCAGAAGCAACAAACTAGATTTTCACCCTCACCCTCTGCCGTACTTCTCTAGTCTAGTAATGGTGACAGTCTAGGCTGCAGTGACGGTAAAGTTACTAATAATAATATTAATATTATTTCACCAATAATTTTCTTTTTTAAAAAGTAATGAATCAGGAAATTATGTACAGCGCTGAGTTGAGAATTCAGATGCATAGAACCGCCGTACCTCTCGGCTTCTGGTCGGAAGTTGTCCCCTTTCCCCTTATATATATATATGTATGTATATAAATTTTTTAAAATTTAAATAAATTATCACCATGATTTTAAGTAAAATAAATTAATTGTTTTTATTATATTAAGATTTAATATTTAATTTTATAAATTTTAAACTTAATAAAAAATAAAATATAAATAACTTAGAATAGTTTATATAATTAGCTGCAAACCAAAGCCCAACCCGTTTTCATTAGGCCCAAGAAACGCAGCCCGGCCCAGGTTTTGGAAGTATGAAACGACACCGTTCGGTTCTTTGGGGAAGGACAAAAGAAAACCTCATGCTCTATTTTTCTGTTCGGGCTCCAGGGAAGGAGAGAAAAACTGAGTGATGAAAGAGAGGGAAGGGAAGGACAGTGGAGAAGCAGACTGTTGAGGTAAACGACAAGGAGCTCCGGAATCATGCTAAATCAGAGGTGTGTTTAGAGTGATAGAGAAGAGACAAGGAAAAACCTCGCATGGTGAAATCAAAGAAAAAAATACGTAGGTTGTTGCGATGATCACCAAGAATTTACAGTGAATGAAAACGCGCGGGAACTCGTGGTGGAGGCAATCTGAGCTGGAGCACGCAAAGAGAACACACAATCTCACGGTTATCAGAGGAGAGCTTCAAAGCGATTTGGGAGGTAGATAGTCTGGTGCGAAAAAGATCATCGTTAACTGAGAGAAGATTGAGATAGAGCCGGAGCATAAATCACAGAGACGACTTGGGAAAGGGGATTTTTAGAGAGAAAGAGAATCGTGAAGGTGAGGGGAAGAGTTTAAGGTCTCGGGAGCATGTTAACAGGGGAGATTTGGGAATGAAGAGAGAAAATTGTGAGAGTGTGAATGTGGAGGAAATCAGGGAGCAATCGAGAGCTAGAATCAAGGGAGATAAAGAGGAGGGTTTTGGAATTTGACAGAGGAAGCAGCTCAAAGGCAAAGGGTAGACCACATATTTTTCTTCTTCTACTGTTCATTTCTCGCTTTAGTTGTTAGATGACCATTTTGGTTTTTCTGTGTTAGGATGAATTGAGTTAGGAGTTGGGGATTTCTCATGTAAAAAAATATGTTGATTGATATTTGTTAATAGATGTTAAAATTTAAGTTTTCATAGAACATATGTTTATATATTAAGAAGAAACAATTTCACTGCTTCTCACATTCTTTCGTAGCACCAGGTTCACATCAGTTTGGAATTTCATACGTTATATTTCTTGCGAAGAAGCGAAGGACCAAGAAGAATTAAGATAATGGAGATTACAGAGAGTGAAGAAAGTATACATGTTCCAAGAGGAGGACCCATATATTTCCCCAATATGATCGGTCCTCTCACCAGCCTACCCAGTTTCCAGGCTTCTCTCTTCCCTCAACTCCAAGTATCTCTTCCTTCCGTTGTTCCATTCATACTGATCTTGCTTGTTCTTTCATTCCTTATTTAATCATAATCACCAAAAATTTTGATTGATATGCAGGATCTGGAGAGTTTATGCGTGGATTCCTCTAAAACCCATGTCAATCATGATATATTGTATATGCTTTTATTATAACTACTGTCTTTTCTCTCAATTTTGCCTTTTTTAATGTTTATTGTGAGTATTCATGAGGAAGGAAGAAGTGGTAATTGATGTGCAGGGTTGACGACCTCAAAATTTTTACTGATGAAGAAATAGCGGATATGGCTTTCAAGGAAGCTTTTAAGGTTTATGGCTGCCACAGCTTGTTTTATTTGTTAATCACAAGGATTAGATTTGCTCATCTCAAGAATTTGTTTAATCGGGTTGATTACAGGGCCAAGATGATGCTGTAAAGAATTCTGGACAAGCTTCAGAGGAGAACCCTTGTTCAAGGTATGCAAAATTCTTCTCCAACCTGTTCCCATTATTAGCAAAATTATGTACCTAGATTCCTGCCTCCATCTTATCTTTTGTTAGCAAACCGGATCCGTCCGTAACAAATTTGCTGCAAGTTTTGTCTTTTCTTTTTAGGGAGAGCTTCCGACCAGCCTGCCACATTTTTAATTATATAGGGTGGCTTAGATTTCCCTTTACCTGTTGAACATAGAATTGCTATCCAAATTGGATTCTCTAGAACAAAAATGTATAAAAAAACACCTATTTTTCCATTAGTTGAAAATTTAGAGGATTTTGTGTTGAGCAAGATGATCTACATATTTATTCAAATGCATTTGTGTCAATGATGATATCCTCTGAGTAAATTGTGGGAATAAGGTTGAGGATAAGTGAAGAATCATATGGACTGTCACATCAAACTGCTGGTTAAACCAACTTGATTTGCCATTAAATTTGGTTGGAGTTGTGGTTCTTGATAATTTGCTCGTTCTGTCTTCTATATACTATGGCAGATTGTTATTTCAAATGATAACATATGATGGGACATATATTCACTTGTGTTTTTTTCCTCTAATGAACACATTAGTACTCTAGTTACTTTAAGAAATAAATTTGATTTTGCTGTTTTACAGAATAAAAGAAAGTCATAAAGAATTGAGCGATACAGATGAGCTTTCAAAAAGCTGCGAAAGAGAGAAGGGTTCAGCTTCTTCTAAGTATCCAAATGGAGATCCCCCTGGAGCCAGTAATAATGGAATGTTGACTAAGAAGTCTGCCAAGAGAAGTCTCATGAAGAAAAATGATCAGCCTATTGAAGTATGTAGCATATCCTGCTATATTGTGTGTGTGTATATGTATATCTCGTTTGATGAATCATGAAGTCCTGCAATTTCATCGTGTAATAAAGTTAGAAAAATAAGTTGTGATTATAATTGAAACGACTGAAACAGATATATAAATTAATATATGCTCAAATGCTGAAAAAATCAAAGTTCTTTAAATAGTAAAGGTTTCCTCTGATTATCCGGAATGGAAATCGAGAATTGAATTCACTGTATAAGTTATTGCATCTTTCTTAGAAGATACTATCCCGCCACTCGGACTCGAATGGAGATGCCCTACTACTGCTTCCTAAATATGTATTTCTTTGACTGCTGCTAGTGTGTTTCTTCTGGTTATTAATGCAATATTTTTACATTATATTTTGTTATCCAAGCAATTTTGAGAATATTTATTATCAAAAGAGTTTTAGAAATTGGATCCTGGACCAGTGGAATATGTGATACTCATTCTTTGCTGTTATTGGCTTCTGTATGTAGATGTTACTGTTTCTGGCTCTAAATATGTCTTGTGCCTCTGCTCTGATTGAAATGTTTTCTTTATAAATCGTTTCAGTGGATGCAATTTTTTTCATTTGAAGTTACTTATCCTCCAGTCTTCTTTCAAAGTGAGGAAAAAGATACCACATATACGTATGTACCATAGATATTTTGTAGAGTGCAAATAGAATGACTTTCTTAATGTGGTTTATTTGGCTAGTTTCAATGTTAAAGTGATCAATTGTATTTAATAATGACATTGGAAGAAGTGTCTGAGGGTCATATCTGGGAAGTTTATCCTCTTTGCAATTAGACATGTGCATCTATATGTTGATCAGTATCAAAAGGTTGCTATTGCCTTGTAATGGCACGTTCCGTTTGCAAAATGGAATATAACTTGAATATAATAATTATTCACTAGTAACAGAATAATGTTATAATGGAATTGCAAATTACATTACAATTTCTGGTTCTAACTTATTATAATACTCGTTGGTAGTATTAAAAGTTGAAACAAAACTATAATAAGTTATAAATTATTATAATAACTTCATGATATTATTTGATTTGTTTAAAGATTCATGTATTTCTTCTATATATTAAAAATATACATACTATATCATGATAAATTGATAAAATTCATATCATTATTTTATTAATAACATCATATGATTAGTGAGTACAGGCATATGATATGCTATACTTTAATACAATTCATCATGATATATCATATGATTAAAGTATTATATCTACTCTATAAAAAATAAAACATTAATCAATTAATTAAAACTCTTCTTGGTGATGAAGGGTACAATAGTCTTGAAAGTAAAATTAGTGAGTACAGGCAAAGATGTAATGTTGGTTCATGGCTCTTAAACCATGAATCAGGATTATGACTTCTCTACTAATCATAATTACAATGCAATCTTGATTCAGCCAACCAACTAATGTAATAAGTCTTTGAATTATTAGTACAATTTTTATCAATTCATGCTCTATACAGTGAACTAAATATGTTGTAAGTTTGTTGCTATGACAAGTTTTTGCGAAGAGTTATTCTTTTTTCTATAATGCAGGAGGATTATATTGTGAGGGTGGAGCAACTGGCAAAAATGAGAAAAAAGCAGGAAGAAGACAAAGCAACTGCAAGACTACATTCCTTAAAGTCTGTACCACATCATATGCAAAAAAAAAATTCTTGATGCCTCTCTTCTTTTTATGCTAATAGTTGTATCTAACCTAGTTTGGCAGCAGCTCAAAGATCATTGAACTTGCTGCTCCATCATCAGAGAAACTTGAAAGATTAGAGTCCCTTAAGTCAGCTAAGTATGCAGCGAAGGTGTGCTTGAAGTTGCTTCTTATTTTAATCCTTAGCTGACCAATATTTGAGCCATGATGTGACTCGAATATATGAAGATGGTTTTTACTTGCTGAATCTGACTGTTTGCTTTGTCGAAAACTTCTTAGTCTCTCCTTTTTCATTTGTTATGTTCTTCAATTTTAAACAGATGGCGAGGTCATCAAATATTCAGGAGCAGGTAGATGTCCTGAATTCTGAAGTTGTTCTTTGTGTTGAGATCTACCATAACGTACGGAAATGGGTGAAGGTATAGCATCATACACAGTTTTTGCTTGCAAACCTTAAACACAAGAAATGGCGTAAAGTGTATTTTCTTTCTATGGTTATTGTTCTCTAGGAGCTTATAGTATATGGAAGAAAATATTTATGATTCTTTTATGATTTTTTCAGTTTCATTTCTATTAAAACAAAAATCCTTGCCCAAAATTTTCTTTCAATTATAATATCCGAGTGCCTGTTGTTTTTGAAAAGAGAAGTTTATTAACAACTTTTGTTAAGGATGTATTCCTATATTGAAATATTGAAAGACTTAAAGATTCTTTTCATTTTTCCCCCTTGTCTTGTGGGGCGGAAGGATATTGAGGTAGAAAGGTAAACGAAACTTTGGCATAAGATTTCGGACCTGGAGGTTATTTACCTTTACATCGGAGTTGATTGAGCATAAATGATCTTAGTTCTTAGCTAGTTTGGATGGCTAGTTGATGCGTGAGCTCTCATGTCTGTCTGAAAAATGTTTTGCTGTTAATTTTGGCATGAACCTAAGAAGTTAAATGTGACTCCTGGAGGATTGTCTCCAATGTTGTTATGATAAGTTGTTAGCCTGCACTCTTCTCCTGTTACTACTGTTCAGTGTCCTCTGCCTTTATTATTTAAAAAAAAAAAGAATGCCTTTACTCTGTCTCAATTTTTGAGTTTTGAAGTATAAAAGAGCTAATAAAGTTTTATTGTGTTGGCTGGAATGTTTTTGTTATGTCTGCAACAATAGAAAGACGCTCTCTGCTTCTAAAAATATATTCTGCTCCTGTTGCTGATGGGGAATCCAAGATCAACAATGCAATTTGAACCCACACATGTAAAATTAACTGAAAACTCATTCCTTAAATAAATCTTTCCTGCTTAACACACAAACAACCTTTGATTGGAACTAAGATAATTGGAAAAAATAGCAATAATTGATTAAAACACCACAAAAGTTATTTTCATTAAGTAGAAACCAATTTCTTACTCAACAGTTGAAGAAAAACCTCACGAGTTGCTAAAGATGGATCTTATCTTATATTCTTCCTAAGATGTGTAGAAGCTGAAAGCCTGAAATTAATTTGCTAAAGTATATAAATATCTGTTCTATTATGTCTTGTACTATGTGCATTAAAGTTTCCCCCTCATTGTTCAGTTATTGTTATCTTTGTGAAATTTTTATAGACCCAAGAGTTCATGGTCCTCGGCAAGCAAATGTTGACTGAATTGAGGGACAAGATTTATTGCTTGACAGATGAGATGATGAAGAAGGCAGGAAAGCATGATCCTTCAGGCTACTTTCTTATAGAAGTAAGGACCTCTGTGACTTGTTCCTTGATGACTCAGTTGATTAGTTGTGAATTTATCTGATAAAAAACTATTATTCCACAGGATGTGTTTTACAATGATTTAAGGGATCCATCAGCTATAGATTATACCGAGCCCATTTTTGATTGGCTTAGGAATTCACAGGAGGATGCTATGAGAAAATGGGAAAGCATCCTAACTGGTGAGTTACAGAGAAAGCAGAAAGCAGTTTTAGGTGAGGTAACAGCCTCCAACCTGCCTCAGTTCGAGGCTGCTGACATGCACAAGACACAGTTTTGTGACTTAAGATTTCGACTTGGTGCTGGATATCTCTACTGTCATCAGGTACAGATTTATAAAGTTTCTTTTCTTTCTCTTTAGCGCCCTTTTTTCACACTACTCACTAATTTTGTCGACTAATAATAGGTTATTTTAGTACAACGTGATATATATTATTTATTCTTGCACCAAGTAAAAGTCGAACCTCTGACTTCTACTTGTGTGAGATGGAGAAGTACTACTTTAACTAAAGATTAGGTGTAACTAATAACGAGACTTGATAAAAGACTTTTTAGCATTTTTGTTGAATCATATATGTGGATGTTAAAGTTCATAAGGATTTTGTGTTAAATATTTGGTTTGTTTGATGGGTTGTGAAGGGAGATTGCAAGCACACTCTTGTGGTCCGAGACATGAGGTTGATTCACCCGGAGGACAATCATAGCCGAGCTGCATATCCTAGAATCATATTTCAGAGAAAACCACGGCCAGAGAAATGTGATGTATGTAAGATTTACAGAGCTGTAAAGGTGACTATTGATGACAAATGGGCCCAGGAGAACCCTTGTTATTTCTGTGACTATTGTTTTTCCCTCCTCCATTCCGGGACGTACACTGATTTTTCTGTCTACAATTATTTGCATGATTACTGAATCCTCTTAGCACAAAATCTTACTAATGTTTGAAATTTACTCCTGAGACCAATGATATAATTGGCTGTTGCTTGTTTTTGATCGTGACATAGCCATTGTTCTATTCTATCATCCACCACTGTGCATCCCTTGGTACTAACTCAGCAGCGCATAAGAGGTCTGTTATAGTATTGCACTTTAAGCATGTACATATTTTAAACTTCTTAACACTTAAACAGAGTTTAATAAAAAAGTAAGATGATTCAAAACAATGGTGTTTAAAAAATGGTATGCAAATATAATAAGAATATGAAAAAATTAGAAGGTTATATAATGTTAAACTTATTAAACATCAAACAACATTTTTATAATGTGGGATCAAACATTAACACAATTGTTTATGAACATTAATATGTTCAGGAGTAGCTTCCGTCAGTCAATATCTCAATGTCTCTCTAGGAATGTGGTGAACCCAACAGACGAAGTAGCCAGCACAAGAGTTACCATTCCGGTAAATATGAGTAATCTGAGTATTCAGGTTTTTGATTCGACCTTTTCCTATTCTACCATATTCCAACTTCACTTTTGATCAGGTTGGTATACATATATATATATATATACATGCACGTCTTGAAGACTGATTTTATTTATTGACATTTGGATTTGGTGTTGATAGAGGGGATCAATTTGATTATGTAGTTGGAGTCCATCCAACCTAGATAGTTGAAGATACTAAATATACTCTTTTGCCAAGACTTTATGTTTTTTCACCTTTACACTCTTATAGGATCTTATGGCCTGTAGACATTATGTGATAATCTAGTTCATACACCATTTTGTTCAACTATTATTTTTTACTAAATCGTAGCATCATTCCAACATGCTTAAAAATATATCAATGAGCTATAGACATTAAATAAAATAATAATAATAAAATGGTTAATGTATTTCCATGACATGAATGAGATTCACAGGGTGCTATGTAATGTAACATGGCTCTTCTGAGTTGAAGATTTTGGTTGGATCAAGAAAATTAGGGATTCACAGTGGTCTCAGGCGACTAGCAGAAATGATTGAAGAGTGTGTCAGTTTGTGTGTCTATATATATACCATGAGCAAGGCAATTGATCACAATATTGATCCTGTTTCAGAACCTATATCCATGCAAATGCTTAGCCCACCTTCGAGCTAGGTAAGGATCATGGTATTCCCAATTATCGGCGTTGCTACTCCTCCCGCCAATGATGCTGATCTCCCTCCCTGTGACTGCCTCACACCCTGCGGCATTTGGTTCCCTCTTATCGCTTAAACTCACCATAGTTTCCCCTGTTCTGATGCATTCATCAACTCCTCCTTCGACATAGCTATACCCAACTCGAACATCTCCACAATCTTCAAACTCAAGCAGGATTCTCCTTTCTTCACTGCCTCTTAGCTCTCCAAGCCTAATGACCCGAGCTTCCTCCCCAATTCTTAACTGGATTTCTCTTACAACACCTCCCAATAGTCTCCCTAGGAAATCTTCAAATTCATGCATAACAAATCCATTTGAAGTGCCAAATCCAAATCCTACATGAAATCGATGGATTGGAACTGGCACTTGCATGTTGATGGCATGGTATGATCTGGTAGGACTGTCTGATAGGTGCAGGATGCAAGATTGCAGGTTCTTATGCGCACGATCTTCAAGTACTTTTATTCCTTTCTTGAGGCCTTCAATTGGATCTGCCTGTCCTGTATAGAATAGGCGGTCAATGACTTGTAATGCTGTCCGCTTCCCATAGGAAGTCATGCGCCTTAGAGGGAAGACACGTGCTGCAGCGGAAGAGTAAGTTACTATGGCCAAACGGTCAATAGGTCGAAGGGAGATCACCACTAATGCCATGGATTGCTTGAGAAGCCTCAAATGTGGCCCATTGGGGCTTGCAACCAGCACCAAGTCAATTGCTCGTGGATGTGCCAGTTTTACAGAGA